TCCAGCTCCCCATAACCCACCTTTCCCAACCGGATTCCAGATCAAATCCCAACAGAGCGAAGTAACCAGAATCCTCGATGGGAAAAACATCAAGTACGAGCTGGTGGATATCTCCCAGGACAATGCTCTCCGGGAGGAGATGAGGGCGAAGGCAGGCAACCCCAAAGCCATCCCACCCCAGATCGTCAACGGAGACCACTACTGCGGGGTGAGGCTCGTGCTCTGCGCTGGGATAAGCACCGTGGAGATGGGGTGGTGGGTGGTGATCCCCTCCCCTGGTTTTGGCTACAAATGGTGTCAAGACACCACTCAGAAGGTCTCTCGTGATGCGTGTGGACAAGGCACTGCCAGGGTTAACGGGCATTTGGAGCATGGGGGCTTGTGAAAAGGGACCCTGGCAGGGGGATGCTGGGCAGCGGGGTTGTCCCTGCTTTGTCCTGCCATCCTTCACGTGACTGTCACCCCTGTTGTGAACCCGTTTGCGCTGCATGCTCAGGACACCCCGCGTTGCCTGGCCGGCAGGAGCGTGCGGCTCACTCTTGCCTTGTGAGCGACTGTGTGGCTTTTTCCTGCAGGATTACGAGCTCTTTGTGGAAGCTGTGGAGCAAAACACCCTGCAAGAGTTCCTGAAGCTGGCCTGAGCCCCAGGCTCCCCTCCTGTCCTGGACTCTACCTGCATTCCTGAGCATCCTCATCTCTGACCACCTTCACTTCCAGGTTGTCAGCACTATCCTGGCACCACGACCTGTATCCCAGCGTAGGGAAACCCACGACCAAACCTACTCATTGCTGCTGCCTACGATCCCCTCCTGCCTGACCCCGATATCATCTCAGAGGGATCCAAAGAAAGTCTGACGCTCGCTGCGCATGGCCTTTGAACAAAGCTGGGCCTGGCTCACACCGCAGCTTCCAGTGCCTCTGTAAACAGCAAAGCCTCTGGGGCTGTGTGAAGTGCAGCCGCCCGTCAGCCCTCTCTCCTGCTTCAGGAGGGAAGGGCTTAGGGTTGCATGTTACTTCCCACTTCTCCCAGTTGCTGTTAAAATTGTAAATCCTGCTGCCTCACTTCCTTTATTGTTTAGGGTTTTTTATTTTCTTCATCTCAACTGCAGAGATTATGGCAACTAAGTTGATTTTTGTTGTTTGTTTTTGTTTTGAATGCAAAAATACTGCACAAAGCTGGGGTCTGCCCACCTGCCAGAGGTGAAGGCCGGTGTCACTCGGCAGGTTGCCCGGGGGGATGGATGGGCTGAGAAGCAGGACCATGCTGCTCCATCTGCCCTCTGCTTCGAGGGCTCCCTTGTGAGTGTTCAGGGCTCAGGGCTGCTCCACAACAGCTGATGCTCCAGCTGTCTTATCTTTCCTCTTTGAGTTGGCTTTTTTTGCAACCTGGACCAAGTGCATTTTGTTTTCCTGCCAAAAAAGCAAGTTTATAACCAGTGTTGTCTTCCGAGATGCTATTAAATGTTACTGTACCTTTCACGTTGGTACTCCTGAGTTTCTTTTAAATTTGGTTTTATTTTGACTACAGGTTAAAACGTCGCCCTACGTACTGATTCTGAGTCATTTCCAGCTCAGAGAAGCTGAGTCAGTTGTATTTGCTGCTGCAGCCTGACAGAAAGATCTTAACACCTTAGATTGCTGCTGCTAATCAAGGGCTCACAGGAGTTATCTGAGTATCCTACAGCGCGGTAGTGACAGGTACCTCTCTCAAATGTTCCTCTTCTCTGTGTGGTAAGAACAGCAGCCTGGGGGAGGGAAAAACAACCCCTTGGCACAAAGATTACCTGGTTGGTTATCGACTGGAGGGTCCCTTGTGCGCTCCTGGATCTGCTATAGGTGGAAAAAGGAGGAAACTCACTTAGAGCTGTGGGGATTGAGTCACTGGTCACGGGGAGCCTGTGGAAGTGGCTTGTTTGTGTGAGTGCTGCTTCCTGTGTTTGAATTGCGCAGGGTCCAGCTCTGGTCAGAGAGGTTTGGGAAGTTCTCTGGGTGTCCTGCCTCCTTCCACAGCAAATGCGCTTGGAAATCTTAAGGGAAGTGGAAACTGCAAGTTAAATAAATGGTTTTATTGGGAGCCTTTAATGAGGGCTGGGTGGTGGCGTGTGCAGGGCCTCTGCTCAAAGGGAACCTGCCAGAAGGCGCTGCCTCGCGCAAGTGGGAGTGTTGTCAGCTGGGAGTCAAGTGGGGGCTTGTCAGAGCTGAAACGGGAAGAATGTGCTGGGAAAAGGGCTGGCAAAGCACAGCCCCAGCCCACGGGAGAGGGAGGAAGATGCTTTACTCAGGGTTCAGCAGAG